TAAACCTACCTGGACTTGTTACACCACCCCTGCAAGGTAGGGGTGACTGGCGGGGGCTTTGGTCTCTTCTAGTCGATGAGGAAACTGAGGCCCATAGGGTGGGGCGAGCCTGTGTCCTTCCCTCCCCCAGACAGACTCCTGACCCGGGCCCCTGGGCTCACAGCCAGCGTGCTAGGGTCCCTGCCCTGGGACCCAGGCGGAGGGCGGAGGCTGGGGACTGGAGGGACGCTGCCTGTCCTGCCCCGGAGTGACCACAAGGGGGCTCTGGGGTCAGGTTTTTCTCGTTTTTTGCTGCTGCTGCGGCCGCTGCGAGTTCTCAGCGATCTGGACCCCCACGCACATAGGTTTTTGGCAACCCCTGCTCGTCCTCCCGCAGCCGCGGCTGAGCGCTCCTGCGGGCCCGGAGGCAGCCATAGGGGGCACTGACTTTGCTTTTCCTAATCCCAGCCTAGAGGGCCTCCCTTCTCGAAGTCAGGAAGTCCCCCCCCCGCCCCCCCCGGTTGTCTGACGTCGGGCCCACTGCTCCTGGGCGTCGGCTAGGGCAGGGCGAGACACACTTTTTTCCGTGACCACTTACCCGCGCGAGGCCTGACGCGGAGCACTCGCTCTCTTCCCAGGCCGTTAGAGCTCTGCCTTTGCTCTCCCGGCGCTGCTCAGACCTGGACAGACAGCAGCAGGAAAGTGTGTGCTAGACATCAGGAAGGACTTCCTCCCAGCTGGGCGCAGGAGCCCCTGGGTTTGGGTAACTGAAGCAGGCTGGGAAAGTCACCGGTTTCTCTGGTGCAAAGCTCTGGGTCTAGGAGTTGGGGAGAGGCTTCTGCAGTCCGCCCCCACCCCATTTCCCCAGAGGTGCCAGGTGGTGGAGGCTGACTGCTATTGCTTACCACAGAAAATCATGGGTGCTGTCAGACCTTTGGGGTCTGGGGCTTCTGCGATCTGGAAGTAGCCATTCGTGGGGTCTTTCAAAGGGGGTGAAAAGGAGCTGTGCAATGGCACATACCTGTAATGCCAGCACTCTGGGAGGCTGAGGCAGGAGAACGACAAGTTCAAGGCCAGAATTGAGGTGGGACATGAACTATTACCTGCCTCCTTTTTTGTTTTTTGTTTTTTTGAGACGGGGTGTCACTATGTAATTCAAGCTGGCCTCAGACTCATTATGTAGCCCAGGCTGGCCTCAAACTTGCAGCGATCCTCCTGCCTCAGCCTCCCGTGTGTTGGGATGACAGGGGTGTGCACCGTGCCCGGCAATCTGCCTGTTTCTTGTGTCTTCAATGCTGGAAGGCTCTGGAGTTGGGGAAGAGCAGGGATTTGGAGCTGAGCCCATCCTGTAGATGCCAATGCCATTTCTGCCTCTGTCCCCACTCTTGGGAAGGGTGGACTCACAGCCCTGTCTCCAGGCTGTTGCAAGCTTCGGGAGCCAGGACATGTGCGAGGGCCTCAGGCCCCGTGTGGTAGAGCTCCTATCGCCTGCCGTCTGCCCAGTCTTGCTTGTTCCTGCAGAAAGTGCGATATGTCCATTTCCCAGATGGAAAAGTAGAGGCAGGGATGATGTGAAGGCCGAGACCAGGACCTCTGCCTATATGCTCAGTTGGAAGCCAGGGGCCCCTTGTTCCCCTGGTCTGCTTTCTCCTTGCCCTTGTCCCATGGAGAAAGGCCTTCTCTTCTTCCTTCTGCCCCCTCTGCCTCTTTTCTTTCTTCCTCTTTTCTTCCCCTTTTCCTCCTCCTCAGCTCCATTTCACATCTCCTCTGCTCCTTCACCTTCCTCTCTTCATCCATCCATCCATCTATCAAGTTAGGCCAAAGAATTCTTTAGAAAACTAGGAAAGGTGCATCCTGTACCCTCGGTGTCTCCCAAGCCTTCTAGCGGCCGTCTCCCCACCTTCCATTTCTTAGTCTTTCTTCCTGGCCTCCCCTAGGCTGGAGCTTCTGTTCTGGGGGCCCAGGAAGGATGAAGAAATTGATAAAGAAGTCTGGTTCAGGTAAGAATGTGCAGCTCTGTGTGTGTGTGTGTGTGTGTGTGTGTGTGTGTGTGTGTCCTGGGGGCGGAGCTGAACGGCACACCCCTGGCCCCTGCCCTGGGAGGCCCCATGTCTGCAGAAAGAGGCAGGCTGTGTGGTAAGTGCTGTCCCCAGGCTTAAGTGCGGTGTGGGAGTGAGGAAGAAGGGAGGAGGAGGAGGCTGGGGTGCAGCTCAGTGGTTGAGTCTTTCCTGGCATCATGCCCTGAGTTTAATCCCCAGCACTGCAAAGAGCAAACACACACACACACACACACACACACACACAGGCTTCCCATAGGAGGTGTTCACTGAGATGGGTGTTTTAGGAATGAACTGGGTTTAGCAGGTTCCAAGGGGGCGGGAGAAAGCTGCATGGTCAGAGGGACCACAGAGGGCAAAGAATGCTGCTAAGAAGGGGCAAGGAGAATCTAGGGACTGAACAGCAGCTCTGCAGGGCTGGAGCCCAGGCGGCTTGTGGGAGACGCAACTCCCAATCCGAAAGTGAGGAGTGTGCCTCACAGCTGACAGTCCTTGATCCTGGTCAGTGAGGGACAAGGGGAAGGGAGGGGTTGGAAGCATGGAGGGGAGGGTCCAGCCTTGCGTGCCCCCTACTGGCTGGCTCCCCTGCCCTGGGGCACTCACAGAGCTGATTCTGGTTCTCAGCAGTCTTATCTAAAAATGGGAAGGGTGAGCCAGAAACAGGAACACACAGCTGTAATCCCAGCATTCTGGGAGGCTGAGGCAGGAGGATTACAAATTTAACCCCAGCCTGGGCAATTTATGGACTGAGGCCATCTATCATCTATCTATCTGTCTGTCTATCATCTACCTACCATCTATCTGTCTCTGGGGCTGTAGCTCAGTGTGATGAAGGCCCTGGGTTCAGTGCCCAGTACTGCAAATAATGAGGGAGGGAGACGCACATTGTGTCGTTTCTTCAGGTTCCCTTCAGCATCAGGAGCTGCAGTAAGGTCACTCTGGGCTTGTGTGGCCAGGGCAGGCTTCCTGGAAGAGGAAGTCTAATGTGGAGCTAAACAGGGTGGGGAAGGCTGGGAACACCATGGAAACCAAGGTCAAAGGCAGAACTTGAAAGTTGCCTGAGACTGCATGACTGGCTGATCTCGGGGCAGAAGCTGGTTTGAAAGCAGGACAGGGCTCTGCCTAGCGGGACAGGAGTGACGGACTGTGAGGAGGGGCACCGGAGACCGCAGGGCACTAGCGTGAGCTTCCTCCCTATCACCTTCCTGCCCCAAGGTGCTGGGGGCAGACTGAGCTACAGGGGCTGGGTCTGTAGGCAGGCTTGGAAACTAGAAACATGCAAATGAGATGCAAATAGCATGTAAATCAGCCACACCCGCACGCCCACCGCCTGAGGTTGGTTTTGTCTGGGGTTGAGCCATGTGTGGGAGTGAAGGGTTCTGTGCCCTTTGCCTTCCTCCCAGGGTGCTCCTGCTGGCTTGGTGGCGCCGGGGCAGACCCTGGGACGCAGTTCTGAGCTGCATTAGCTTCTCCAGGTGCAGGAGCTCCCCAGGCTCGCCTCTGACCCTGCTGCTCACTCCGGGAGGGCTGGCTGCACAGGGAGTGAACTGACCAGAGGGCAGGGGAGAGGCCGAGAGGAACAAATTTTGTAGGAAAATGGACACTTTCGGACCCAGAGCACAGAGCACCCCACAGGCCCCGGGAGACACGTTCCAGCAGAGACCATGAGTGACAGAGGCAGACGGAGAGGGCTCTTCTCGTGTCTGCCTGCGATGCCTCCCAGGGCCTGCCGGCTGCCTCTCCCTGTCTGCCTGTCCCTGGCCGCTGGTCCCTTTGTCTGTCTAGCTCTTTGTTTGTTTGTCTCTTTGTCTGCACGTCTCCCTCCCGGTTCCGCCTTTCTTTCTGCTCTGCTGTCTGTCTGTTGGTCCAGACCTTGCTGTCTGTCACTGTCCTCTGCGGGTCCCTCTCTGCATGGAGAGAAGCTGCCAGCTGGGATCCTGGGCCCTTTGGGGCCTGGCCTCCCGCTCTCGGACAGGTTCTCGCCCTCCCTCCTCCTGACTTTGGGTCTCTGTTTCCTCCTTTCTGAGGTGGCGTCTCCTTCTGCCTTCTCTCATGTTTGTAAAACTCAGGCGTGTGAGCAGGTGGCTGAGTTTATGATTGCCCCGCCATTGTAACACGGTCTAATGCAGCCAAGGGGCAACACTGCTCTTCACCCTCTAGGGACAAAGCAAGAAGAAAATAATGACTGCAGCATGAGGCATAGTGGTCAGACATCCAGAGGGACTTCCGCAAGGAGAGGTGTGGGAAATATTAGAGAAGGTCAACTAGAAGAGGTTAAACAGCCACCTTCCTACTCTGCATGGCAGGAGGACAGGCGATGTGACCTTCCTCAGTCCCCGCTTAGAAGAGCTCTCTAGGTGTTATGAATTAGGAGGGGCTGGAACCCGGAGGCTAGGGTAGAACCCCTGGGATCCGTCCCCTGTCCTAGCTCTCATCTGAGCAGCTGCTCGGGTAGCGGCGGAGAGGACCGCTGGGAAGGGGTGTAAAGGAAGTCCTGCCCCTCTCCCCGCCTCCACTCGGGTCCCTGCCATCTTCCCGAGCTCTGGACCACTCCGCCCCCGCCCCCGCCAATCCGTGAGAGATGGCTGCTGGGGACGGAGTGATGTATGTAATGCAGATAAAATGTCAGCAATTCTAAATGGGTCCGGAGATGCAGCGTGGGGGGCGGGGGGCTAAGGGCGGAGCAGAGGGGAGAGAGGAAGGGAAGATGAGCTGTGGGTCCTCCCCGGGACGCCGCAGGGGCAGACACCCCCTCCCCCCAGCAAAGGCCGGAGGAGGGGTGGGCCCAGGAGGCAGGAGCCCAAATGGGATTTTGAAGAGGGAGCTGGAAGGTGGGGGTGGAGGAGAGGAGGAGGCAGGCGGGGGCAGCGGGGCCGGAGCTGCTGATGTATAGCGGTTTCATAACTTCCTCAGTATTAAAGGCGGGTTCATGGGGAGGGCAGCGCCATTAATCACCGGGCTGAATGGGGCCGGGATCTGCTGAGAGGCGCGCTTGCTGTCTGCTGCGCCTGCCCGGCTCGGGGCGGGAGGGGGCAAGCCGGGATGCCCCTCCTGAACCAAGGGGTAAGACCCCAGGACGCTATTCTGGGCGCTGGGCGAGTAGGTCCTTCGCTGTAGGGGAGGGTGGGGGCTGGGGACGCTGATGGGAAGGAGGAGGACAAGGAGGGTTGTGACAGGGGCTGGGGGGATGATGGGGGGCAGAGGCTGAGGGGACCCTGGGGAAGAACTGGGGAGGGAGGACTGTGCCTTTGAACATGAAATTGATCACATGTAAATATAATGCAAATGACATGCAAACGAGCACAGGATTCTCTGGGTCCACTGCTCAGGCATTCTCCTTCTTAGACTGAGAATTGGGGCCAATTTGCATCCGCTCGTTGCCCAGCACCTCGGCGCTCCATTATGAATATTGACAGACGGAGGAGGCAAGGTCTCCCTTGTTAAGGGGGTGGGGCAGCTGGGGTGGAGCTGGGAAAGGGTGAGGCCACGCCTGCCCTGCAATGGTGACATCAGGAACACCGGCATGCCTGAGTGACTGAGAAGTGGGACCCAGGGCTCTGAGCCTGGACTGATGGGGGTTAGAAGGGAAAAAGCTCAGCATGGAGGCAGAAAGATGGAGAGACAGACAGACAGACAGGTCCCCACTGCTCCTCTGACAGACCCTGAGCCAATGAGATGAGAACACACTCTGTAGCCCATGAAGTGGCCACTGTCCCCTCCCTTCCAGGGAAGATAGACCGTGGCTGAGAGGCAGTGATCTTCCTAAGGTCATGCCGTTGTCCACTGGGGGACCTCAGCTTCATTTTTTTTTTTTGGTACCAGGACTCGAACTCATGACCTCAGGCTTGCCAGGCAAGCGCTTATGCTGCTGAGCTACATCCCAGGCCTGGACCTCAGCTTCAAATTGCCTTGACAGGTCTGTGCCTCTCCACTCTGCTGCAAGCACGTCCATGATGAGATAAAATAAAATAGTGGCGTTCATGTCTTCCTCTGCTCCCCTCCCTGTGGGTTAGGATCCCATAGGCAAGCTCTCTGCCGGCCAAGCCAGGTCCTCAGCACTGCCCAGGTATTTACGAGCACCCCACAGGGACAAGGAGGGGGCAGTGCTGAGTGCAGGGAAGGGTTGACTTCCAGAACACACTGTCTAGCTGAGCCATAGACTTTTTTTTTTTTTGTCTTTTTGAGACAGGGTCTTGCTATGCAGTTCAGGCTGGCCTTGAGCTCACTTTGTAGCCCTCGCTGGTCTCGAACTCACAATGATCCTCCTGCCTCAGCCTTCTGAGTACTGGGATTACAGGTGTGAGCCACCACGCCCGGCATATAGACATTTCTTTTTAAAAAATCTTTTATTTTGCTCTTTGTTTATATTTGGGTTTCTCATATAAGAGAAACCGTGTGATATTTAAGCTTGTGTGTCTGATTTATTTCATGTAACACTATCATCTCAAGGTGCATCCATTTTCCCACACTTAACAGGTGATAACAATGGTCACCAGAGAGGTGCAGTCCAGACGGGGTGTGGGGGAGGACCAGGGAATGTCACAAGGGAGGTGGCTCTTTTCTTTTTCCTTTTTTTTCCTCTACGGGGTACTGCTATGCAAGTGGTCTACTGCTGAGCTACACTCCCTGCCTTTTTTTCCTTTCTTCTTTTAACTTTTGAGATGGGCTGGGTGTGGTGGCTCACACCTGTAATCCCAGCACTCAGGAGGCTGAGGCAGGAGGATCATTGTGAGTTTGAGACCAGCCTGGGCTACAAAGTGAGCTCCAGGCCAGCCTGAACTGCACAGTGAGACCCTGTCTCAAAAAGACATACATACATACATACATACATACATACATACATAAATTTTGAGACAGGGTCTTGCTAAGTTGCCCAACTTGATGTCAATTTAACTTTCTTCTTTTCTTTTCTCTTCCTTTCCTTCTCTTCTCTTCTCTTCTCTTCTCTTCTCTTCTCTTCTCTTTCTTTCCCTTCCCTTCTCTTTCTTTCTTTTTCTGTTTTTTTGAGACTATGTAGCCCAGGCTGGCCTCAAATTCACAGCCATCCTCCTGCCTCAGCCTCAGGGTGCTAGGATTGCAGGGGTGTGCCACAGTGCTCCGCTGGCCTAGAACTTTTGATCCTCTTACTTCAGCCTCTTGAGTGGCTGAGATCACAGGGGTGTATCACCACGCCCGTCTGGGAGGTGGCATTTGCCGTGGGCCTTGGGGACTGGGTAGAATGTGCTCAATGGCAGAGGAGTGGGGAGCATGTTCTAGGCCAGGGAGGATACGGGCCACTGCGCAAAGGTAGGAGAGGAGGAGAGTGTGTCGGGGTGTGGAGGAGAGCGGGAAGTCAAGGGAGGCAGTAACGGGTGGGCCAGGACCTGAGGGCCAGGGCATGGACGTTACCTAGAGGCTGGCTGGGAGTAGCAGTAAGGTCAGTCACTCACCGAACCACTGTTCAGTCAACAGACATTTATTGCACGGCAACCAGGGCGGGGCTTCCGGTCGCACAGGACGTCGAGGTGGAGGGATGTGGTCCCCCTCCTAGGAGGTTCAGTAGCAGCAAGGTCCCGCGAGGAAGCTGCGGATACAACAGTAGTTCCCTTGGAGTGTGACTGTGAAGATTCAGTGTGACAATCTACATGAAGTACGCAGCATGGCATGCGGCGTGGAAGGTCAGCTCGGGAGAGGTTAGTGATGGCTGCTGCACGCCAGGCACCGTCTGCAGGTGCAGAATGGAGGGCAGAGGCAGGAGGGGGATGTCGGCGCTCCAAAATGCTCGGGAGGGCTGGGGATCTAGCTCAGTGGCATAAGCGCCTGCTTGGCAAGCGCAAGGTCGTGAGTTCGATCCCTGGCACCGCAAAACAAAACAAAACAAAACGCTCTGGGAGAGGTGGAGGGGGCAGTGTGGGCGGCACACGGGGAAGGTTCAAGGGGCTGTGACGGGAGCAAGGGCGACAGAAGGGCGTGAAGCACAGGCAGGCAGGGAAGGTGTGGTATGGGAGCTCCCCAGGGTGGCATCAGGCTCCAAACACCCCTCCTGGGGTCGGGTCTCTGCTCTGTGGCTGGTCCCCCGGTAGTGCAGGCAGGGCGAGGCCCAGGGCCAGGCCCCGGGGAGGCTGGGTGCTAGGATTCCTGGGTTCCCTTCCCACTGGGCTTCTTGGCCTGCTTCCCAGGCTCTTCTTCCTCCTTGCTGATTTCTGCTCAACTTGTGGGAGCTGCTCCTCACACTACCAAAATCTAACTTCCATCCTTCTTGCTGCGGGACCTGGGGATCAGTCCCACCCCCTCCACTGTCTGTCTCATGTCTGTGTGGTCCCCTCAGGATAATTGTTCTGGACAACTCTAACACCACTCAGACAGATTGTCCGGCCTCCTGGCCCCGACATCTCCCACCACTGCATCAAGCCAAATTACTCAGCCTTCCCCCCAGCCCGGGGCTCTGGCGAAATCCGATTAGCAAGGAGAGAGCTGCGCTCAGCTGACAGTTCCTCCGATAATTGCTTCCCAAGTAAGCGATGCAGATCAGCCCATCCAGCCTGTCCCTGCTCCTCTCCCAGGGACCCAGGTGTCCAGCCCCAGGAGAGGGAGTTGGGGAGACTTGGAAGCCGTCGCCTGATTCCAGTGAAGCGGGCATCAGTCCATAAAGTTGGGCTGTGCTGTCCTGGGGCTCAGGTGGGGGTTGTGGGGTAGAGGCTCAGCCAGAGACCCCACTGGGTCTGCATGTCTGTCTTCTCACCCCTTGGAGAAGGAGCCCATGTACCCATTTCTCTGTTAGGTAGGAGAAGACAGGCATCTAGAAGACACAGATGGTGAGATCGCTGAACATGTTAGGCAAACAATGGGTGAACTTGTAGCCTAGCTGTCCTGGTTCTTCACTTCTGAGGGGAGATGGGATGAGACCTGTGCAGCCTGCAGACAGCTCCCTGTACTTATGGAGCCCCTGTGCACCAGATGGGGGAAAGGCTCGAGGGAGGTTACACTGCACAGTGCTGGAGCGGTCTGTCATCCATGTCTCCGAAGGCTTTCGGAGTCTGATCAAACCTTTAGGCCCAGGACATGTTCTTGGGACACAGTGCTCTGCCTTACGTCATACAGGAAGGACCCTTCTTCCTTTCTCCATAGCAGGGCACTTTTAAGGGCCTGTTAATGAACACTCTTCCTTAATGTCTTTCTTCCTTATGTCGTGTGTGTGTATGTGTGTGTGTGTGTGTGTGTGTGTGTGTGTACACACACGCAGTGCTCTGGACTGAACCAAGGGCTTTGTGTATACTAAGAACACACTCTGAGCCAGGTGGGGTGGCACACACCTGTAATCCTAGCACTCTGAGTGGCTGAGGCAGAAAGATCACAAGTTTGAGTTCAGCTGGGGATATAGCTCAGTGGCACAGTGCCTGCCTGGCAAGTGTGAGGTTGTAAGTTTGATTGCCGGTACCAAACAAAACAAAAACCGAAAAACTGAGGAGTTAGATTTTTGGGCTGGGGATATAGCTCAGTGGCACAAGTGCCTGCCTGGCAAGCACAAGGTCCTGAGTTCGATTCCCAGTATCACACACACACACACACACACCCCCCCCGCGCAAAAAAAAAAGTTTGAGTTCAGCCTGGGCAACTCAGCAAGTCCTTATCTCAAAAGAAAAAAGGCTGGGGTCATAGTTTAGTGTGTCAGCCCTAATCACTAGTACTGCAAAAGCAAAATAAGTAACAGAACAAACACACTCTAAGCTGGGCATGGTGGTGCACGCCTGAAGTCCCAGCACTCAGGAGGCTGAGGCAGGAGGATCGCTGTGAATTTGAGGTCAGCCTTGGCCAGAGAGTGAGTGCAAGGCCAGCCTGAACTACATAGTGGAAAAAACAAATAAACCACGCCCTGTCATTGAGCCACACCCCTTTTGTCCCATCTCTCGCCGATCTTGTGGACACATGAAAGGTATTTTCCTTGCAACCCTAAACTGCTCTCAACCTAACCCATGCCAGTCTGTCTTTGTTGAACTCTCAAGCTGCTCAGACTTATCCTCTGTGCTTGTGTGTCAGATATGGTTCTGGATCTTGAGTGTTCAGCCCAGCATCTGCCTGAGACCCTGGCTGTGGTCATAACAGCGGCAACTGACCTGCATGGAGCGCCAATTCTGATCTGGGTGTTGTGTCAAGCACCTTATGTAATTAAGTCATTTAATTATCACAAAAGAAGACACAGATTGCAATGATTATCTCATTTTACAGCTCCGATAACTGAGGCACACAAAAATTAAGTAATTTGCCCAAGGCCACCACTAGTGATAGAGCTGGAATGCAAATCCAGGCAGCTGCCCTGTACAGCTTTCTCCTCCAATTCATATTCATTCTCTCTCTCAATCTCTCTCTCTCTCTCTCTCTCTCTCTCTCTCTCTCTCTCTCTCTCCAGTACTGGGGATTGAAGTCAGATCCTTTGTACTGAGCTACATTCCATATGTATTTTTTTTTTCTTAAAATTTTGAGACAGAGTCTTACTAAATTGCTGAGCTCAAACTTGCAATCTTCCTAGCTTAGTCTCCAAGAGTGCACGGATTACAGGTATGCACCACCCACCACACACCCAGCTTCCAATTTTCTTTTTTTTTTTTTTTTTTTTTTTTTTTTTGCTCTCCTCATGCAGGTCAGGCTGGCCTTGAGCTCACTTTGTAGCCCAGGCTGATCTCAGACTGGCAAAGATCCTCTTGCCTCAGCCTCCCAAGTGCTGGGATTACAGGCGTGCGCCACCACACCCAGCTCCAATGTTCTTTTAATGTTTCTTGGGCTCCCTGAGAGGGCCCAGTGTGGTGGAGCTGGGTCTACACCCTATTCCTTAGGGTTCTCCAGGGAGCTGACCAGGTGGCTCTTGGAACCCAGGAGGGGAAAATATGGCTTTACTTTCTCCAACACCCAGTGTTCCTGTTCCGCAGCTGGAGGCCCTGTGGCTAGACGGTCTTCCCTGCTGCAAAATCGTGGAAGCAGGGGAAAGACTGACCGAGCAGCCTAGGAAAGTGAGCTAGGAGCTCCAGAGGCCGATAGATGGCGCTCATGGCCCAACACAGCCCCAATAGCCCGAGGAAACCTATGGAAAACGGGTGAGCAGGTTAACCCCTTCCCTACTGGGCTTAGGCCTGAGATACAGGCTGGCGGGCATCCGGCAGCCCCTCCTCAGGTGATCCAACTCTCTAGTTTCTTACCCAGGCCATAGCCTGGACCTGCTTCTGCTCCTATCCTCAAGGCTCCATCCACGAATCACTACTTCCAGCCCCTTGAAGACTTCCCGGAAGGGCCAGGAGACTAAGAAATGGACAAGGCCTCACCTAAGCCTGTGGCTCGCCTCTCAGGCTCTAGCTTTGAAAATCTCTGCAGGTGTCTCTGTTTCTCAGCACCTTCTTCCCTGAGAGACAACAGGTTGAGGGGAACAGCATGGGCTAGAGACAGAAAGGGCCCGAGACTCCTGTAGGGCCAGCTGCAGCAACTCACTGAGGGATGCCCAAGCCTCAGTTTCTCTTTTTACCTGGATTCCCTATCTCTGAGCTAGCCGGGGTGGATGGGCTTATAGGGACAAAAAGAGTTATCTGATTCTCCCAGGAAATTAAAATGAAAGGAGTGGGGGTCCTGGCAGATTTGCTTGCCTGTTTCTCATTTTACTTATTATTGTCCTGTTGGAGGTAGACTTGGGAGTGTAGAGGGGCTGCCAAGATGATAAATTGGAAGCAAGTGGCACAGGGGTTGGATTGGTAGAGGGTTGAGAACTTAGAAAAAAAACTTTTTTGAGACAGTGTCTTGCATGTAGCTCAGGCTGGTTTTTTTGGAGGGTACCAGGAATCGAACTCAGGACCTTGTGCTTGCCAGGCAGGTGCTTGTGCCACTGAGTTATATCCCTGGCCCGAGGCTGGTCTTTTTTTTTTTTTTGGTACCAGGAATTGAACTCAGGACCTTGTGCTTGCCAGGCAGGCGCTTATGCCACTGAGCTATATCCCTGGCCCCTCAGGCTGGTCTTGAATTCATGATTTTTCTGCCTCAGCCTCCTAAGTGCTGGGATCATGAGTATGTGGCACTATGCCTGGCCAGATAGGGGGATTCTTAAAAAATGAGATGACACCCCAGGGAAGCCCTTCTTCCTGTTTTGTTTAGAGATGTACATGCTAAGAGTTGTGGAGATAGAGGAGCTGTTTCTAAAAGCTAACTCTTATTTCAGTCATACCAGAGAAAGAAGGAAAGACAGACATACACCGAGGGAGACAGAGACACAAATATGCGGAGAGAAAAAAAATATAGAAGAGATGAGATAAATTTACATAGGTGGGGAGAGACACAGACACAGAGAGGGGGAGAATCTGGTACAAATTAAAGCTCAGGAAACAACGGGCTGCATGAGGTCGATGATTCATTCAGTTTCTGAAATCTTGCAACGGTGGGAATGGTTTCTCACCTTGGTGTCAGAGGGGTCACTGCTCACGGTTCCCTGACGCTCCTGCTGCACCTATTAAGTTTTTCTGTTAATAGGAGACCAGAGGGGGCTTGGGAAAAGGGCAGCATCCTTGTTCTCTCACTTCTTCCTGCTCTGGGTTCATTAGTCTCTTTCGCTACTACACACAGGGAGACCTTGCCTTGGGGAGCAGAGTCCTGGCTGTGCTCAGGCTGTGTGCAGGGGTGGGGGTGCGAGGAACCCAGAAGGTAACTAGCTTAGGGGATT